GGGAGAGGGGAATGGATAGATAATGGCATGTCCCAGTCAATTTTCCAACACAATAAGTCTTATAAATTATGTACATGTACCAGGTACTGGAAATGTTGAAGATTCTTTTAATGTGAAATGCCACTGATTTTTACTTCAGTTGATTTCTACTGTGTGACAAACTATTAAATTTTTGTTAATTTTTAATTTTTCATATCTTTTTCTTCTTTATTCATTATTACTCACTTGTTGGTGTGGTAACAACTAAAGATGACAGGTAAATTTGTTTCCCTGTTTTCCCTGTTTTCCAATTTACATTCCTGTGTATTTAATTTATAAATGTAAGTCTTAGATTGGATGTACATGACCATCATATCTTGGACCTCTTCCCTGTAGGTCTGAATATTGAGACATGTCACATTATAGAAATGGCATGCCTTATCACAGATGAGAACCTCAACATTGTTGCAGAGGTTGGTATAGATAATTAAGTTATTAAGCCAGTATTAGATTTAATGTTTTATCCTAAAAGGAATATTACTGGGCAGATAATAGAGTCTCTGAAACACCTATAATAAGCACCACTTACTGTTAAAATACATGGAAATTGTCTTTAAAAAAGCTGACTTTCCACTCCTTGTAGTTAAAGCATGTGTTTCCTTATTGATTGCCTAAACACGACATTGCTCTGCTCTTGCTCGATAGTGATATTTCCCCCATTTACATTGTACTAGAGAAATCCGAAATTTATCCTATAAATTCTAGACTGATGAGGTCAAAATAACAGACATTCAGGTTTTTAGCCAGAGGGGCATCTATATTCCACAGATCCCAACTTTGAATAGAAAAGTAACTTACATAACCAGCTGGAGTGAGAGTTATTTTCAGCAGATTTGGAAATTTTCAAATCAATCTGGGCTCATATCTGTAGAAGTGCACCTCACATGTTTACTAAAGTTGGTTCCACCCACCTAGAGGGGTGATATGTTAGGTCCCATAGAACATATGATTATCTGACCCTACTTTACATACCCTGGCTTGCAGCCTTCCTGCAGAGGTCCATGTAACTTGTCTGGCTGGTTTGTTGTTGGTGGGTAATGAATAATGATTGTGTTATTGGTCAATTTATATCTCTGGTTTCAATTCCTTCAAACCAGTTTATTTTTATCATTGAAGCATTCTAAATTATTTTGGTCATAAGGGGAAAGAGAAGTCTGTCAGACCAATAACTTACCAGGCCATTTGATAAACATGGGGAAATTTGCAATGATTGCTTGCATGGGATAGGGTAGGGCTAGGGACTAATGGAAGCTAATTTTAAAAAAAAAATGAAGCAGAAGGGGGAAAAATGAAAAAACTCTGTCTTGATTTCTTTTTGCATGTGATTCTTTTAAGAATCCCCCAAAAAGTAACCTGCAAACTCTAGAGATTTCTTGCCTTTGTTTTATGCCGCCGAAAAATACAGTATTTTTTGGCGGTGTGAAGCAAAAGCCGGAAAACCATCTGTGTTTGCAGGCTACCCAAAAAATGAAAAAAAAGAAAAAAAAAAAGAAAAGAAAAACATGTTTGAAAAATTTAAAGCAGAGGTAAAAATTGTGCCACAACAAATGTTTACATACAAGTAACCACTAATCCCAGGCTCTACTATCTGACTGTAGTTCTGTGACATGAGATAGGACTTTTAACATCTCCTGACTGAGGGAAATATTGATTCTGTGACAGGAGAAATTAATTTTGTTTACTGCAGTAGTGAAAGTACATACTTAGACAGTACATGTATGTACTTTTAGGTGGGGCTATATCTCAGATGAAAATTCTTAATGAGGCAATTATTTTAAAAAAACAGTTGAGACTTGTTTCATCTTTATTTTTGTTAACTTTATTTTTCCATATATAAAGTAGCCTCTTTCAGGAACCAGAAAGTTAACCCTTTACTCCCTAGTCTAGGAGTGCCAATTAGTACACATCATAATTTTGTGAATTTTTCAGAGATTTCTATGAATTTTTGTCACAAAAATTGTCTTGTAAAGACCTACATGTAATCATTGAAGTCAAAAATTTGCTACCCAAAAAGGTGAGCAAAAACATGCAATAAACATTTGTGTCGGATGTCATAACCATTTCTCTTTAATAACTATGCCAGAGATAAATATTAAATGAATTATGTAAAATTTGAACTGCTCAAGGAAAGTACCTTGGTTTGCCTGTGCTGTTACTAAATATGGCCCTCAGCTTTAGGTGTAAACTGGCTCAAGCGACATACTTTTTTATCTTAAAATTTAGGGTCCTGACTTAGTGATTCATCAACCTGACAGAGCATTGGAGGTCATGGATGACTGGTGTACCAAACATCATGGGGAGGTAAGTGCTTCAGTAGTGTAGTGTATGGCGTTACCTGTCACGTCATCGCTCACAATCTTATTGGTATTTAAGTCAAGGTACTTAAAACAAGAGATGCAGTGTGGAGACACTGTGGCCTTATGGTTAGTACGCTCGACTCCTGATCGAGTGGTCTGGGTTCAAGCCTGGACTGGGGACTTTGTGTTTTTTTCTTAGGCAAGACACTTTACTCTTGCAGGGCCTCTCTTCACCCAGGTGTACAAATGGGGCCTGGTGAATTTAATGCTGGGGGTAACTCTGTGGTGGACTAGCATCCCATCCAGGGTGGAGTAGAAATATTCCTACTCGCTTCTAGACTGTTCACAGCCCTCTATTTTCTCGTATTTTTATTTGATCATACTCACAGATAGAATCGCGAGAGAACTGGACACTAGCGCAAAACGGAAGACTTGACTGGGTAGGGAGTGGGGACAAAGAAAAATCTTGCTCACTTTGCTCGCAAACCCCATCCCCCACCCCCCACCCCCACGTGCTTCATGCTCGCAGGGCTCGCTTTTTCTTTCACGTGCATAAATCATTGTGTAGAGAGGCTGTGAACAGTCTAACTCACTTCATGCTACAGAAACCAGGGAAAGCTCTAGCCTCNTGTTTATTTCCCTGTGTACTGTTCTGGTCCCAGTTGTTCAAAGGGTGGATAACACTATCCACCAGATAACTCACTACCCAGTGGATAAGTGTTGACAAAACAAACCACGCTATCCACTGGATAGTGATTTAACAACTGGGGCCAGAAAAAGTGGATGCTACTGTATTTACACTGTGACTACTCCAACCAAGGCCCATAAAAATTCAACAATATTCTGTGCAAATTGAAAAAAAAATTTAGATTTTCCACAAGTTATTGATACAAGCAATCTGTACCCTACAGAAACAATGAAGGCAACCAATTTTTGTTTCAACATGTAAATGCTACTGGTCAATTTTCAAACTAATTGTGTGGGTGGCCTTGGTTACACTGCAATATGATTGGCTGTTAATACTCATTGCTCCTGGCCATGGTATCAATAGCATTTACAAAAAAGTATCTGTAATTTTAATATGGTCAAAACCTCCATACTAGTGATTTTAACACTAATATTTCTGGAATAAATTAACAACTATGAAGCTGGCCTCCATAATTGATTTTTCATTCTAGATACAGTGAAACCTGTATTAAGCAGACACCCTTGGGAACCTGACTAGTGTCCAAGTAATACAGGGTGTCCGCTCAAAACAGGTTCTAATATGTTGTGCAATAATAGTTAATTATTAACGCTTTTGTAACACAGTGTAGGATCAAAGACTAGCATAGCACAATGTCTAGTCAGTCATTGAATGCATCAATCTGAAATAATCACTTAGCTCTAGAACGACATCGCTGAACAATGTTAAAGGAGTCTCAGCTGAACCTTCAGAAGTAAAAAGCCCTTGAAGTGTCCGCTTATTGCAGGTTTTGTGCAACAAAATGGCTTAATGTTGGTGTCTGCATCCGCTTAACAGAGGTGCCTGCTAAATGCCGGTTTATTTTATGGTAAATGTAGGAAGAAAATTTTGGGACTTCAGCTGGTGTGCACTTAATAGAGAGTGTCTGCTTAATATGGGCTCCACGTGATACAGGTTTCACTGTATGTGCTCACTGATCATGCCAAAGGTCAAAATAATTCACTGAATAAGCAAAGACATTTTTTGAGAGACATGTTCAAAGAAGACAACTTCAAGCAGAAAATCAGCAATCCTCATATGAGTTGTATATCAATAATTATGATTTGAGAAAACAAAGCTTTTGGAACATGAGTGAATGCGACGTTGAGCCCAAGTCATCACACTACTAATCAATGGCTATCTTATTCTCTTGTTCAGTTCAGATTACAACTGTTATTCTTTTTTTGGTTGTACCTTGGATCATGGTAAAACATAGCACTGCCTTCTGTTTTTGTATTACATTCTCTGCTCATTCCACATGTCTTGTTCAACCAACGATCCACAGAAACATGTTTTGACATAATTAGTATATTGCTTTGTATTGCCTTCTTGTCACACAATGGGATAACAGCCTTGCTCAAACTTGCCCACACTTTGCCTGACTACAAGTACTGTTATCAAAGTCAAGGCTAATTAGTAGTATTGATTTTATAGATGAGCCCTAACCCCAACCTCATCACAAACACTACCCCACCCACACTTTATAGTGTTATCAGTATCAACGGATCAGGTAACAGAAATGTAGCTGATGTTTACTGGATTTGATTCCAATGAAAGACTCATGTTTTTGAGCAGATTCAGAGAGATTTCTACAAGTTTTGGGGTGACCTGAACTACATTCAATAATTTGAATAAAAAATAACTCAATTGAGATGTGAAATATAATTAGAATTGCCTAATGCAATAAGCATACATGAAAAGGCCGATTGAAACTGTTAATACAATTTCATCAGAAATGAAATCAAAGATCTTGTAAATATCGGACTGTACATAAACCGATTGTTTCACAGATTTTTAACACTGGATTATGACTGAATTGAAATAAATTCCTTGCATTTACCAGTAAACGAATATGTCTCGGTCCTTAAAAAATTAGTAATCAGGAAATTAATGAATGTTAAGCTTAAATTCTGCCTTGGAAATCATTGTTCAGTAGATTGTTTGAACGTGCCGTGCATGATAAGTTCAGACAAGGTGTATACAATATCAAAAGTGAGTAATCAATAGGGCATTGTCTAACAAAGGAAGTGACTGATAACCATTGGTATGAATGGTGAGTGTTGACGCCACATTAAGTGTGTATTTATAATAATATTAGTCGGGGTCGGCACTGTTGCTTATATTCGATCTGTATCGCTGGCATGGGAAATACAGTCAGCCAACAGACTTTATCAGTTAAAACGGTGAAATGAAAACAAGATTTAAGGAAAAAAATTGTCAGTTTGTTTTTACAATAAATATGTTCACGAGAAGACGACGATCTACAAGTAGCTTACCACGCACAGTGTATTTAAGACGTTTAAGCTTCATATCATTTTTCACAGCTCAAAAATAAATTCTAATAAAGTAAGTCGGCACTGATACTGCTGGGCGGGTTGATCGACAGCATATTTTTAGGAATGATATTTTAGCGATTGAAAGCGAAAGCTTTTAGTGGGAAGTAAATCTTTGTGGGTAATCAACTGGAGTGCTTATCAGCTGTGTTGATGTCAACACACATCATGGGGCAATAATGGACACGATTTGTCTGTAAAACATTAATCATGCAGCTAAACTTACTCGTTTTCGCGACGATCCCTGCGATTTCCTTTCTCCATATTAATCTTCTGGCCGAAGTCACGATGCCGTTCCTGTCTGCGGCTTGGGCCAGAAGAATCATGGTAATTTAACCGCTGTTTTCCGCGCGATCTCTTGTTCACGGATCGTTCCAAACGCGCTGCGAGTCTCGACGAGGCCTCTCTCTCGCTTGAATGAAGATGCTCTTTGGACGACGAAGAACTTGGTCTCTGCGCAGCTGCTTCAAGTGACATTTAAATTATGTTGTAAAGGATAAGTACTCGGCATCTGTAGGACGCCAGCAATGTGGAAAACAATAGTTTATCGGCTTCAATATTGAAGTCTCAGTTGTGGTTTGGGATTTTTGCACTTGTGAAAACATTCTTAGCATTCTTTCACAGCTTAGCAGCCTGGTGATTTTTGGTCTCGGCCGAAGGGACTGAAGCTAGACTTGGTCTTAGGCTTTCTGGGTATTTTAGAGAGACAAGTAACGCCTGGAGATAATTACTACTTCTGCATGAATTTCCCGCTGTTAATCTCGCTCGCTTTCCGTCGGCGATTTTTAGCGAAAAATAATAACTTCATCAGGAATTTGTCCCATAAAATATCTACTAATGTGAACATGGCAAGCCGGAGACTGATTTGGGTTGATTTAGAGGTGAGTAGACTCCGTTTTAAAGATTTTTTGTTTTCCACCTTTTCCACCACAAAACGAAAATTTTCGCGAAACCAAAAGGGGTGGCTGGGGAAGTGGGTTTGATTTGTTACACTGCTGCTACTTTTGTCAAAACTGCGATAAAATTTTCCAAAATCACATAGACTATAAAGTTGGTGGTGTCAATCCAGAGACGGAGAATTTATTGGAAAAAATTCACACATGGAGGGACAGTCCATTTTTATATGCACCCGTCCCCTCCCCATGTAGGGACAGATTCCAACACCCTACTTTTTGGTGTTAGCACCTTCGAAGTTTGCATCCGAGGTTTCAAAATGTTGTTAGTTTCTTAATCGCTGACAGGCCCTTATCCAGATGTAGCCTAAGGGGGAGGAGGGTTGAGGGAGAGGGGAATGGATAGATAATGGCATGTCCCAGTCAATTTTCCAACACAATAAGTCTTATAAATTATGTACATGTACCAGGTACTGGAAATGTTGAAGATTCTTTTAATGTGAAATGCCACTGATTTTTACTTCAGTTGATTTCTACTGTGTGACAAACTATTAAATTTTTGTTAATTTTTAATTTTTCATATCTTTTTCTTCTTTATTCATTATTACTCACTTGTTGGTGTGGTAACAACTAAAGATGACAGGTAAATTTGTTTCCCTGTTTTCCCTGTTTTCCAATTTACATTCCTGTGTATTTAATTTATAAATGTAAGTCTTAGATTGGATGTACATGACCATCATATCTTGGACCTCTTCCCTGTAGGTCTGAATATTGAGACATGTCACATTATAGAAATGGCATGCCTTATCACAGATGAGAACCTCAACATTGTTGCAGAGGTTGGTATAGATAATTAAGTTATTAAGCCAGTATTAGATTTAATGTTTTATCCTAAAAGGAATATTACTGGGCAGATAATAGAGTCTCTGAAACACCTATAATAAGCACCACTTACTGTTAAAATACATGGAAATTGTCTTTAAAAAAGCTGACTTTCCACTCCTTGTAGTTAAAGCATGTGTTTCCTTATTGATTGCCTAAACACGACATTGCTCTGCTCTTGCTCGATAGTGATATTTCCCCCATTTACATTGTACTAGAGAAATCCGAAATTTATCCTATAAATTCTAGACTGATGAGGTCAAAATAACAGACATTCAGGTTTTTAGCCAGAGGGGCATCTATATTCCACAGATCCCAACTTTGAATAGAAAAGTAACTTACATAACCAGCTGGAGTGAGAGTTATTTTCAGCAGATTTGGAAATTTTCAAATCAATCTGGGCTCATATCTGTAGAAGTGCACCTCACATGTTTACTAAAGTTGGTTCCACCCACCTAGAGGGGTGATATGTTAGGTCCCATAGAACATATGATTATCTGACCCTACTTTACATACCCTGGCTTGCAGCCTTCCTGCAGAGGTCCATGTAACTTGTCTGGCTGGTTTGTTGTTGGTGGGTAATGAATAATGATTGTGTTATTGGTCAATTTATATCTCTGGTTTCAATTCCTTCAAACCAGTTTATTTTTATCATTGAAGCATTCTAAATTATTTTGGTCATAAGGGGAAAGAGAAGTCTGTCAGACCAATAACTTACCAGGCCATTTGATAAACATGGGGAAATTTGCAATGATTGCTTGCATGGGATAGGGTAGGGCTAGGGACTAATGGAAGCTAATTTTAAAAAAAAAATGAAGCAGAAGGGGGAAAAATGAAAAAACTCTGTCTTGATTTCTTTTTGCATGTGATTCTTTTAAGAATCCCCCAAAAAGTAACCTGCAAACTCTAGAGATTTCTTGCCTTTGTTTTATGCCGCCGAAAAATACAGTATTTTTTGGCGGTGTGAAGCAAAAGCCGGAAAACCATCTGTGTTTGCAGGCTACCCAAAAAATGAAAAAAAAGAAAAAAAAAAAGAAAAGAAAAACATGTTTGAAAAATTTAAAGCAGAGGTAAAAATTGTGCCACAACAAATGTTTACATACAAGTAACCACTAATCCAAGGCTCTACTATCTGACTGTAGTTCTGTGACATGAGATAGGACTTTTGTTGGTTTTAATCTTAACATCTCCTGACTGAGGGAAATATTGATTCTGTGACAGGAGAAATTAATTTTGTTTACTGCAGTAGTGAAAGTACATACTTAGACAGTACATGTATGTACTTTTAGGTGGGGCTATATCTCAGATGAAAATTCTTAATGAGGCAATTATTTTAAAAAAACAGTTGAGACTTGTTTCATCTTTATTTTTGTTAACTTTATTTTTCCATATATAAAGTAGCCTCTTTCAGGAACCAGAAAGTTAACCCTTTACTCCCTAGTCTAGGAGTGCCAATTAGTACACATCATAATTTTGTGAATTTTTCAGAGATTTCTATGAATTTTTGTCACAAAAATTGTCTTGTAAAGACCTACATGTAATCATTGAAGTCAAAAATTTGCTACCCAAAAAGGTGAGCAAAAACATGCAATAAACATTTGTGTCGGATGTCATAACCATTTCTCTTTAATAACTATGCCAGAGATAAATATTAAATGAATTATGTAAAATTTGAACTGCTCAAGGAAAGTACCTTGGTTTGCCTGTGCTGTTACTAAATATGGCCCTCAGCTTTAGGTGTAAACTGGCTCAAGCGACATACTTTTTTATCTTAAAATTTAGGGTCCTGACTTAGTGATTCATCAACCTGACAGAGCATTGGAGGTCATGGATGACTGGTGTACCAAACATCATGGGGAGGTAAGTGCTTCAGTAGTGTAGTGTATGGCGTTACCTGTCACGTCATCGCTCACAATCTTATTGGTATTTAAGTCAAGGTACTTAAAACAAGAGATGCAGTGTGGAGACACTGTGGCCTTATGGTTAGTACGCTCGACTCCTGATCGAGTGGTCTGGGTTCAAGCCTGGACTGGGGACTTTGTGTTTTTTTCTTAGGCAAGACACTTTACTCTTGCAGGGCCTCTCTTCACCCAGGTGTACAAATGGGGCCTGGTGAATTTAATGCTGGGGGTAACTCTGTGGTGGACTAGCATCCCATCCAGGGTGGAGTAGAAATATTCCTACTCGCTTCTAGACTGTTCACAGCCCTCTATTTTCTCGTATTTTTATTTGATCATACTCACAGATAGAATCGCGAGAGAACTGGACACTAGCGCAAAACGGAAGACTTGACTGGGTAGGGAGTGGGGACAAAGAAAAATCTTGCTCACTTTGCTCGCAAACCCCATCCCCCACCCCCCACCCCCACGTGCTTCATGCTCGCAGGGCTCGCTTTTTCTTTCACGTGCATAAATCATTGTGTAGAGAGGCTGTGAACAGTCTAACTCACTTCATGCTACAGAAACCATGGAAAGCTCTAGCCTCAGATGGGCCACTTGGCTCATATGCAGACTTTACCTTTACTCTTATACTTAAACAAGGCTAGCCTATTTTTGAAAATGACATTAATGAGAACTATTCATCTGATACCAAGTCAGGTTTAACAGCTGCAGTAAGAGCTTCTAAAATCAGCCTGTCACAAGCGGAACAGACATTCCTGGATTTTGTAAAAGAGCACACCCCTGCCAAACAGTGCCCACTGGCTGGAAACAGTGTCCATGCAGACAAAAAGTTTTTGGACAAGTACATGCCACAGTTCATGGATCACCTTCATTACCGAATTGTGGATGTTAGCACTATCAAGGAGCTCTGCAGGTTAGATATAGAGATCCAGCCAGTGTAAAATGCAGACTGCAGACCTGGGGACAAATTGCAGACTAAGGCTAAAATGCAGACTGCAGACTTAAGGTAAAATGCAGACTGCAGACTTTCTAACTGAATCATGTTACTATTTCTGTCATAGCGGGCTAACCGTAAACAGGCTAACTGGAGCATTACTCAGGCTAGCCTGAGTGATATAAGTTTTAGGCTAACCAGAGTTCAGGGTCAACTTTCACTCTGATGAGCCTGAATAACCCTGTTTACTTAAAAAAGTCTGTAGTCTGCAGTCTACAGTCTGCATTTTACCTTTAATCTGCATTTTACCTGGTCTGTGGTTTGCAGTCTACAGTCTGCATGTTACACTGTCAGACCATATAGTCTGATAGAGATCATTTTCACCCACAAGTTTACCGCGAAGTGTTGAAGTTGGCAACTACATTGTTGGAGTAGGCAGCTGATTGTGACATCTTTTTCTAAAGGAATTACAATAGACAAAAAGCCCTGCAGAGAAGCAAGTCAAGATCACAATGTAGATGGTCACAGTGATTTTTGCTGGATTGACTGGCTACTTCTGACAGTCCTGCAGACTTCAGATAAATCTCTACTTAATTCAACTATACAAAACTGCGTCTAAGTCAGTTAGTGAACTTGCAAAATTGAAAGACTTTGACAGTGTACCGAAGCCATGTGTATAAGATTTTTTTGCCTGGATATTCTACATTGTCACGAGAACTGTCTATTTTCCGGGGCAAGTTAGCCTGACTTTACATTTTCACTCATTTACTTTTCTTTATTTTTCTGTATTATTTAGGAGATGGTACCCTAAAACATATCAACAAGTTCCAAGAAAAAAGGGCCAGCACAGGTACATGTATATAACATGTCATATACAGGGTACAAAATGAAAATTGCCGTCGACTCCCTGTAATTTGGACCCCCTACTCCAGCCAAAAATGCAAACACGTCCCCTTGGGTTTTTGATGATTTTTTTTTGGTTTGCTCTTGAGAGAAGAGTACCTGAACTTTTACATTAATGGCCTGCATTTTAAGGGACAGTGCCCCAATTTTGAGTCACGAGGTTTTGCTTGTCGCGATTTGCGCTAAAACGCACGGTTTCAGACAAGTATTTCCTCAACAAAGTACGTCTTCTGAAAGGAAAAACTGTGAGAGCCAGTGATTGAACACCTTTTTAATTATTACTTTCAACAGTCTTAAAGGCCCCGTCCACACCGCGTCGAAGGAATTTGAAAACGCCGCTTTAATTATTGCTACGTTTAGGCCTACCGTCCACGCAAATCCGTCACGAAAATGAAGCTTTTCGACAACGCTCTTCAAAACTCAGTGGAAGAATTTGAAAACACCGGCTTTTCATTTTCGTGTGGAAGGAGAACATTTTCAAAGTGGAGCTTTTCGAAAACGTAGGATTTCCTTGACCGAGTGTTGCGGTGAATGTTTGTGTTTTCAAATTCCTCCGGCGTAGTGTGGACGGGGCCTAAAAGCGATGAAGCGGTGAAAGCAACTTCTTATTCCATGCCAGGAACATAAAGAATGCATAAATTTGAGCTATTTTTAGTTTGTTTTCCTCTCAATTTAGCATTCACCTGGCCTAAATTTGTCCAACTGAAGCTTAGAAGGTGCTGATCAAAAACATCAGCCGCTTGAATTGTCTCAGTTTTTAGTATTTTTTAAAACGTTGACCAAATATATAAAAGATATAATTGTTTCCTTTGGCAGAGCCCTTGAGGATATTAAGGAGAGCATCACTGAACTTCGATTTTACAAACGGACAATTTTCAAATAACCTGATGAACATCTGATTGAATGTGGTAGGCAATGGAGAAAGAACTTTCAGGTGGATCCAAGCTTCTGAAACCAAGTGTGGACAGGAATGCTGAAAGGGACGTCGAGGACGACGCCTAGTCAAACATGAATTTATATTTAACCAGCGAAATTCGCAGTTGCCCAGATCTGTTCAGGACGCCAATGGCTCTACAAACATGCCTCAGGCTAAATATGCAATGACAGCATCCAACTCCAAATGGAAAGACGAAAAATTAGCCGCAGTCCTTCGCGATCCTTAGACTACGCAGAACTTAGTCATTTCACGTTGTTTTGCTGAGAACGGCTAAGAAATGTAGTAGCAGTACATATGGGTTATTGACCAAGTGTGAGGTCAAGATGGCTGGATATTGGCCAAGTTCTTTTTTTTTGCGAGTTTATGGACCGAGACGGAGTCGAGGTCCATAAACTCGCAAAAAAAGAACGAGGCCAATATCCAGCCATCTTGACC